GGTGGTCGAGCTGGTGCTCGATGTGCTCGAGGTACTCGACGTAGATGTAGTACTGGACGTCGAGCTTGTGGAGCTGGTGCTCGAAGTCGATGATGTGCTCGAGGTCGAGCTAGTGCTCGATGTGCTCGAAGTACTAGTGGTCGAGCTGGTGCTCGATGTGCTCGAGGTACTGGTGGTCGAGCTGGTGCTCGATGTGCTCGAGGTACTAGTGGTCGAGCTGGTGCTCGAGGTACTGGTGGTCGAGCTGGTGCTCGATGTGCTCGAGGTACTCGACGTAGATGTCGTACTGGACGTCGAGCTCGTGGAGCTGGTGCTCGAAGTCGATGATGTGCTCGAGGTAGAGCTTGTCGAGCTGGTCGAGCTTGTGCTCGTCGTGCTCGATGTAGACGAAGTGCTGGAGGTCGAGCTCGTCGAAGTCGTACTCGATGTCGAACTGGTTGAACTTGTTGAGGTTGTGCTTGAGGTTGAGCTAGTTGAGCTAGTCGAACTCGTCGAGCTCGTCGTGCTGGTGCTTGATGTGCTCGTGGTGCTTGATGATGAAGATGTGCTCGAGGTAGAGCTCGTACTCGTCGTGCTAGAGGTGCTGGAAGAGCTCGAAGTACTCGAGGCGCTAGACGTACTAGATGTGCTAGAAGTGCTCGATGTGGACGAGGTGCTGGAGGTGAAGCTTGTTGAAGTCGTACTAGATGTAGAACTAGTCGAGCTGGTCGAGCTGGTTGAGCTTGTCGACGTTGTGCTCGAGGTCGAGCTGGTTGAGCTAGTCGAGCTGGTCGAGCTAGTCGAGCTAGTCGAGCTAGTCGAGCTAGTCGAGCTGGTCGAGCTGGTCGACGTTGTGCTCGAGGTGCTCGAAGTCGAGCTGGTCGACGTTGTGCTGGAGGTCGAGCTGGTTGAGCTAGTAGACGTTGTGCTCGAGGTCGAGCTGCTCGAGCTAGTCGAGCTGGTCGAGCTGGTTGAGCTTGTCGACGTTGTGCTCGAGGTCGAGCTGGTTGAGCTAGTCGAGCTGGTCGAGCTAGTCGAGCTAGTCGAGCTAGTCGAGCTAGTCGAGCTAGTCGAGCTGGTCGAGCTGGTCGACGTTGTGCTCGAGGTCGAGCTGGTCGAGCTGGTTGAGCTAGTAGACGTTGTGCTCGAGGTCGAGCTGGTTGAGCTAGTCGAGCTGGTCGAGCTAGTCGAGCTAGTCGAGCTAGTCGAGCTAGTCGAGCTGGTCGAGCTGGTCGACGTTGTGCTCGAGGTGCTCGAAGTCAAGCTGGTCGACGTTGTGCTGGAGGTCGAGCTGGATGAGCTGGTTGAGCTAGTCGACGTTGTGCTCGAGGTGCTCGAAGTCGAGCTGGTCGAGCTGGTCGACGTTGTGCTGGTGGTCGAGCTGGTCGAGCTGGTCGAGCTGGTCGAGCTGGTGCTAGAGGTGCTCAAGGTTGATGAAGTGCTCGAGGTCGATGATGTGCTCGAGGTCGATGACGTGCTCGAGGTCGATGACGTACTCGAGGTGGAGCTCGTCGAAGTAGTGCTAGACGTCGAGCTCGTCGAGCTGGTGGAGCTCGTCGAGCTCGTCGAGCTGGTGCTCGAGGTGCTCGAAGTCGAGCTGGTCGAGCTGGTCGACGTTGTGCTGGTGGTCGAGCTGGTCGAGCTGGTCGAGCTG